AAAAATCCATATGTTTGACTATTTACTAACAAAACAATTTCAATAATTGTACTAGGACTTCTGTTCTTATTTACAGATAGAATGAGTTACCCACAGAAGCTACTGATGCGTACAAAATATGTATACATATAGAGACTTTATTTATTTTTTTGTCTTTTTGAGACAGGGTCTCACTATGCAGTTCAGGCTGGCCTTGAGCTCACTTTGTAGCACAGACTGGTCTCAAACTTGCAACAATCCTCCTGCCTCAGCTTCCCAAGTGCTGGGATTACAGGTATGTGCTACCATGTCCAGCAATAGAGACTTTAAAAGTGAACTTGACTATACCAGAGTAAAATAATGAAAATTTGACAGATATCATTGGAAATAATATTGTATTTTCTTATCATACAATGAGAAAGAGGTGAGTAAATATCCCTTATCCTGTGGTGAGTACTGTTACTAAGGAGAACTGAATAGCTAAAAATCTTCACAGGGAGTTTCAACATGCATGAGTATTATGCTAACACCTCAAACAAGGTGTACTGAGGCAAACATTCATATAAACACAGGAAAGTAGAAATCATTTTTATAGAAAACTCCTGGTAAATGATTAATGGGACTTCTTCAAAAGCTTGTCACTGTAGACAACTACAATATTAAATCTTTTTTATTCACTGAATAGTTTCCCAGTGTTAATATTATTTCTACTTTTTCTACATATAAAAAAAAACTATGCATCTCTGTTAGTTTTAATCAAGAATGTTTGGTTAAAGAAATAATTGAGAGCTGGGGGTCCAGCTCAGTAGACTGCTTGCTCGGTATGTGCAAGGCCCTGGGTTCAACCTCTAGCACTTTAAAAAGCAAGTTAAGTAAATCAAGTTCTTATTTTAGAGAGATGTATATCTATCTACAGATATTTCAGTTATCATACTGGTAACTTCTTTCTACTTTTCCCTTGACCACCTTCATCTGTCTACTCTGCAGTCTCTGAAATCAAAGAGACCCTTCTCAGCCACATTTATCTGTGTCTGCTTTTTTTCCTTCTATCAACTACAAGCCCTCCTTGCTCCTTTTATGTTAACCAAACTTCCCACCTGTTTGGGTTACTATTGTTTTGTAATAAACTAAAACTTAGTAGTATAAAAGAATCAGTTTTTGTGGTTCCAGAACTGAGGTTTGGCATAGCATGGATGGCTGATTTTTGCTCCATGATACAGTACCCTGGGCTTCAGCTGGAAAGACTTAATGGCTGGGGCTGTAAGCATCTACAAGTGCCTTTATTCATAGGTTATCGGTTGATGTTGGCTAGTAGTTGGAACCTCTAAGACAGGACTGTTGATCAGAGGACCTATAGATGTCCTCACCATAGGCCTAGGACTTCTCACAGTCTGGAAGCCTCAGTTGGACTTCTTACATGGAAGCTCTGCACTCTAAAGGTCAATTTCTCTGCAGGTACAACAGAAGCTGCATTGGTTCTTATAGCCCATCCGTGGAAATCACTGTCTCATTTTCCCTTATTTTGTTGGTTAATACAAAGTCTGCCAAGATTGAATGCAGAAGGAAACCTGACCCTACTTCTTAATGGAAGGATGGCAGGGTCACATTACAGAAGAAAGTGTGAGATAGGAAGTAGTGTTGTAGCCGTCTTTTAAAAACACAATCTGCCACATCCATTCATATACTTCTCTCGCTTAAATATATTCTTCTGATCTGATTTTTTTTCAAGGAAAAATGACATCAGGAGACTAACATTTCAACCAGAGCTTCTAAGATGTATTAGAGAGTACCTAGAAGATTTCATCTATATCCAGCTTTTCTGTTCAGCACATCTGATTATTTTTCTGCCATCAATGGTTCCCAGCAGAGGAGGAATTTGGTTTCCTATGGTCTGCTGGACACAGTACCAATTATTCTGAGGAGAAAAGCAGCCACTGATATATGGGAGCTGGCCTGGTCCACACAGCAGCCACTGATATATGGGAGCTGGCCTGGTCCATCATAGAAGGCCATTAAACAACCATGATGACCAAGAAAAAGTAAAACCACTGAATAATCACATCTGAAAAGAAAATAATACAAACTTTGATCAAAACACAAAATGACCACATAATAGTAAAGGCTAAAATACTTTACTAACTAGCCTACTTCTACTCTATCCTTCTTGTAGATAAGGTTTATTAAGATAGTCAGCTGAGCCAGGCATGGTGGTGCACACCTATAATCCCAGCACTCTGGGAGACTGAAGCAGGAAGATCAAAAGTCTGAGCCCAGCCTGGACAACTTAGCAAATTAGCAATTCTTCGCCTCAAAACAAAAAAATAAAAAGGGCTGGGCATGTAGCTCAATGGGAAGGCTCTGGGTTCATTGCCTAGTAACACACACACACGCACACATACACCTGTGCATGCACAATACACAATCATCAAAAAGATACCTCTTCTTAAAGAACCCAATCCACAGCAAAGCCTTGCTTCTTTAAATCCTCCCCCAAATCACCTCACATGTGTTCAAAACCTGTAAGTCTTTTCTGACACACTCTGAGACACACTATATAGTTCTCCACAGTCTGCATTCTCTCTTGATGCAATGCAAGGAGTAATCAACACATCAACTCTGGGTATCGTGGTGGTCTGGCTAGAAGGCCCTGACAACTACTCTAAGGACTTTGAATTTATGCAAAACATTTCTGGCCAAGGTCATTTCTAATCCTCTGAACTCCGTCTTGTAGTCAATCAGACTTTGGATTTGGCTTTTTTACACTTAAGTCTTGGCAAACAATTATATAAATTCCTTAAATCACCTAAAGCTATTAAAATGCTCCTATAAAGTATATATTTATATGAGTTCTGGTCCTTCAAGTTTCCTACTGGTCACTTTATTAAGTGTAAAAAGGTGATCCTGATAACAGTAGCAATAGCTACTCTATACACAGCATGGGCACAGAACCTAAGGTAACCTGGCTTCAGCCATCTAGGATGTTTATGTCTACTGTGGGAAAAGCAATATGTGTGCACAAGACATCTGACTCATTAGTTACAGCCATCAGATTCTAGAACACAATGCTTCCAGTGCCCCCTTCTTCTACTAGAGAGATATTAGTTTTTCTCCTAATCTTATTTCACAAGGAAAAACGTGACATTAATTATGATAATTACCTTTTACCATTTCTTGTTTATAGTTGTTGTTCACCTGATGCAAAGACTCTTATGCTCAGAAAGAGCATTCTAAGTCAGAGCCATTACAGTAATAGAATGCTTTCCTAGAATGCTTAAGGCCTGGGCATAATCCCCAGCAGAGAGAGAGAGAGACAGAGAGAGAGAAAGAGACAGGAAGAGAGAGAGAGAGAGAGACAGGAAGAGAGAGAGAGAGAGATTGAGATTGAGATTGAGATTGAGATTGAGATTGGGATTGAGATTGAGATTGAGATTCTAAATGAAACACTGTCTTCCATAGACTGGAAGTTAAGTGCCAGATCAGAAATTCCATTTCAGGTTAGAGATCCATATTGAATTATTTAAAGTTATTTTAAGAAATCACCCTATCCAACTTGGATTGGAAAAAAACCCATCTGAACTTGAATTCTGCAATAATCATGTGTTTGTTGCTTTGACATATATGACCCAAAATTCTCTGTGATACACATCTAGTCTTGAGACTGCTGGTAATATTGCATATTTGTCACAATTCATGACTGTGGCACAATGCAAAGGATGAAAGAGTACTCAGAGTCAGTGTCTGACTCAAACTCCAAGAGGGTCCAGAGGAGCTGCCCTTAACTGAGACCCCTCAGCATGAGAAAGTCTCATAAAGGGCAGCCCCTAACTGGAGCCACTGAGAAGTTTTATTGATAGAACCAGGAAGCAAGGATAAAGGACAAAGGAAGGACTACATCTGTGCAGGAATTCATGTAGGGCACAGGGGAAGGATGGAGTAAGGTCAAGATAGTCTGTTATATGACTGACCTTAGTGCCAGTCTAAGTAGTAAGTTGGAATGTGGGGAGCAGGAGGCCCAGGGCATTCATTCCTTAAGGCATTGTGTTTGACCCTACTTGGACTTGAGGCCTGTAGGCTATCTTTTAATGTCTAATCATGTATTCTGGGAGGTTTTGGGCATGTGGCTCCAAAAGTTCCTTACCTCTGCATACCCATCTCATACATACCTCTGGCCAATGCCTCCACATATCCCCCTTTTTCTGTTTTGTACATGGGTTTGTGAAAGAAGGATAGGGTGAAGGGAGGAGGGATATTGGGCCTGGTGGAGAAAGGTCATCACGTCTTCAGCATGCAGTATCCACTGAAGTAGTAGACAGAGGGCTCTTAGGACTGTAAAAAGAGCAAACAGAATATTATTCCAACAACAATAAGAGTCCAAATGCAAAGGTTGAGACCAGAGACCCATCTTTTTGGATTCATCCATGAGGTGATATCATTGAGATGATCTAAAGTAATGTTACGAGCTTCCATTTTAAGCTTATAAAGCTGGGCCTGAAGGTGGCTTTGAAGACCACTAATATCTCTGTCTATATTTGTAAGAAGAGCACCATGGAGAGGCAATGCACCTCTTTCCAAGATTCAGAGTGATTAAGTGGCACTGGAGTAATACTACCAGCATCACAGCTGAGCTTACTATGTGTCCGAAGAGCTTGTTGATATTTACTGAGCTTTCTGACAGCTGCTTCAGGATGTCAAGTCTTTGTAAAGTTTCCTTTATCAATATAGGCTTGAGTTATGATCTCAGAAGTCACATTTTGAAAATATCCAGACATGGTTCAGGCAGTTTGGATGGAATATGAGTTAGGGTGACAGCTGCTGGGGCTGGAGTAGCTGCCAGTGCCATCACTGTTATAATGTGCAAAAACCGCTTTTGCCTGAGTTGTTCAAGTGTTGAGCTAATTCATTCAAAAGCAGCATCCCCACCCAATCATGTGTCAGATTGTTGGGAAGCCAGGCATCACTCTTTACTCTAACCACCATAATGAGTGTATTTAACTGAGAAATATTATTACTATTGACACATGGAGTGAGCCAGGTGTAGCTTTTAGGCAAGGTAATATTGACAGCCTTAAAATGTTGGCACTGAGGAGTAGATGAAATGTAGACAGTGAAAATAGTTTCTCCTTAGTGAGGACCACAGTATATGGGCAGGAAATATAGATCACGATCAGAGGTATTAGAGCAATCTATGTGAGCTTATCTAAATGCTGACAGCTGCCAATTCTGACAATGTGATGAAAGAAATGAATAACTAAACACTATAAGGCTTTTTAAAGGGCATATAAGTAGGTGCCAGAAGAAAGATGTAATAAAGATGCAGCAAGCCCAGGATCCCATAAGGGAGGGCTATCGCTATAATTAAAAGGTAAACTGTAATTCCTGGTTGATTAGACTGTAACACCATTAGGTTATGGGGTCCCCAATTTTCTAGGGCTAGGTCATAAGCAAGAGAAACAACAAAGATATTGGTGGACAGACACAAATTCCACCCGAAATCTAGGCTATCTCCTATAGGCGCCCACAGAAGAGAATATATAGAAATATTGTTTAGGAAGGTGCTGCCAGACACAGAGGAAGCTAGGATGCTGGCAATATTAATGAAAACTTAATGATGCGCCAGGCCCCTGTAGTACGGTGAAGCCCAATGAAAATGTGATCCATAAACATACCACTAAGGCTAAGAGGGAATACAGTGGTTACCAGAGGCGACATTAGACACTGCACATAGAATTCTTCAGTCAAAACGTACCATTCATGAGGTAGTAAATCCCAGACAATAGAGAGCATCCAGAGTGGCCATAACTTTTATCGTAATCCCTTAAATGGCTAGGAGTGGGCAGCCAGGCTCTGCCAGTATAAGAGGCATCCTTGGAGGGGAGAGGAGGCTCAGGGTCCCCCTAGGTGACTATATAAAAAGCAGGAAGTGTAAGTATATGTGCCTAATATATCATGCCATTTACTTTTGGTATACAATTAACCAGAAACCGAATTGCCAGGAAGAGCTTTGCTGGGGTGGAAGGAATGCCGGCCTTTTGTAGCATCTGTTCAGCCTATGCAGTGGGCTGTTTAATCTCTCCCCAGGTAGGTTTTGAGGACTGTGTTGCAGATTTGTTCTCTTCCTCTTGTTGCCCATCCCTGGAGGGAAAGCACCATCTCCCGCAGCTCAGGAATGGGGTTACTCCTCACCTGGTGAACAAACAGATGCATACCCCGTCCCCCAAAACAGCAATTCCATAGGGCCCAGCACTTGTAGACCAGATACGGTCTTTCCTTTGTGGAAATAAAATGTTTTCCCACTGCTGTGAAGCTGCCTGAGTCACTATTTAAAAAAAAAAAATTAAAGAAAAGAGTTCTTTATATAATTGTTCCTGTGGGTAAAGTCTCTCTTATCATATTTCCACCTTTATGTTCTAATAATTGAATTTTAAATAGTAAATCTTTGCCACAGAGGGTGACCAGCAGAATAATAAAGGGTTGTATGGTGATCCTTTGACCCTCTGGGCTAACGCAGGCTAAAGGAAATTTGTTTGGCATGGAGTTCTAGAGCGGCCAAGTCCTGTGTAATAGGTATCAACAGAGAAATGTATATATTGAAGTTTGCCAAAAGATGTATAGTGAGTCATGTCCACTTGCCTAATTTTATTGCCTTTTAAACCACAGGATTTACTCCTGTCTGCGGAATGGATTTTATCAATCAAGGCTGTTGTCTTAGAAGTTGAAACCCTGTAGAAAGTTAACACATAACAATTATTAAGTTTCACGAAGAAAACTTGAGATCAAGAGCAGCACAATATTTTAGCATAACAATCACGATGACATTATTATATTAGAACTATAATGTTTTATTAGTATCTGTGAAACACATTTAAAAGTTCATCTTAGTATAGAATAACTTTTTAGTCAGTTATCTTTATCTAATTACAAAATGTTAAATGACATAAGGAAACTTTTACCTAATTTATTTTCTTTAACCAGTTTCTGTTACCAGAATGACAGTTAAGTAGAATGTAATTGTTTATAAACGTACTTTATAGGTTATTAACTTCTAACCTTTTAATTTCTACAGTGACATTGCATGTGCTGCACAGTGTCTGGGTATCTTCAACTATTATAATATAATTACATAATGACCACAGAAAAATAAGTGTGAAAAAGTATTCACATCAACTGGTTGGCTACATCATGTTGGGCTGACCTCTGCATTTCATCCCAAATAGGTGAAACACAAGGAAAGGAAAGCCAGACGTTCGAGCCTAAAAAGCTTGTCACCATAAATCACCAGTGTGATAAACAGGATATTTTTAATTTTTGTATCTTTGAAGGCCTGGACACTTGGCAAACACAGATACAAAATTTAATATACCACGAGGTCAGCAATAATTGGTATCACAGCTATACAGAAATCTTTACATGTATTTAGTTTATTTATTTATTATTATTATTATTACTATTACTATTATCTTATTGGTTTTTTGAGACAGGGTCTTATTCTACAATTCAGGCTGACCTTGAACTCACTATGTAGCCCAGGCTGACCTCAAATTCATGGCAATCCTTCTGCCTCCTAAGTAAGTGCTGGGATTATAGGCATGTGCCATCATGTCCAGCTTAGTTTATTTATTTATTTGCATTTTTACAGTTCAGGCTGGCCTTGAACTCACTTTGTAGCTCAGGCAGGCCTTGAACTCACAGTGATCCTCCTGCCTCAGCCTTCCAAGTGCTGGGATTGCAGGTATGAGCCACCATGCCCGGCCATAGTTTTTATTTTTAAAACAAACTCTAGACTTTCCTAATAGGTTTTATAAGGTGTAACTATATTGACAAGAATGACAGACATTTTTATAGCTCTGATAAGTTTTGGAAACAATATTAATGACCAAAAATAGACTTATTACCCAATATACAAGTGTATCTCATTTATACAATAAAAAAAATATTTATTCAAAGCCAATAGATGTAGATCAACTTTAAATGTCAGGACCAAATGTAAAGAGAGATCAAATTTTGATCATTTTATGTTTATGGTCTAAACACATATTGTATAAAAGAGAGTACCTATTAGTTACTTTGTATGTATCAAACTTATGTAGTCTTCACTCTATAAAATGAACTTTAAAGCTCAGACTCACAGCATAGCTTGTTTTCAGATATATATATATACACATATATGCACAAATATATGTTATGTCATAAACTTAGATAGTAATTGTTTATTTAACCAATCATGAAGTGATTATTGAAAACACTTTATAGGTTAATATTCAAATACTCTAACTCTTGAATCTCACTTTCGAGTAACCACAAGCCTAATGGTGACAAAACAGGAATCCTATTTTAGTAAAATATACAACCTTTGCTTTTTAATTTAGTTTTGTAAGTTTAACCAAGAGCACTTCAATATTTTTAGAAAACCATATTGTTTTATACATAGAAAACTTAACCTTTCAATCACAGCCAAAAACAATTATTTAGATGACCCATCATAACAGATAACACTTATTTAAAGCCACAGATATATGAAATCTTTTACCAAGAAAAACTCTTAAATTATGTTACACAGATAATAATAGATATTGCATTCATAAAACTGATTTTTTATATTATATTGGTTACCTAAGAACATGTATGAAAATATTTTAACAACTTTAAAGACATTTTTACTCTTACCAACTGATTCAAATTATCCTACTGTTAAGCTATAAAAACCACAAGCATTTGAGATTATGCTTTGAGTAGAACTTTTGGAGGATAATATAATATATACTTGAAAGTTAACACACAAAGAAACACATACATATTAACCTAAATCACATATAAACTTACTTATCAAACATTACCATTTTTATTCCTATGCAAGCCTCAAGCCTGTCAGTCTTTATCTGGAAATGTTTTAAATAAGTTTAGCTACCCTGAAAACCTATATAAATGATCTTTCCATGGAAATCTCAAAAAGAACAAAAAAATGAATTGCTGAACTAAAAAAATTTCTCTTAAATGAAGTAACTGCAGGTTCTTTAAATAACACAAATTAGACAGGCGGACAAATATGCAAACACACAAAATAATTGTCTTTAAACCAGAGTGCACTCTTAGATATATTGGCCAAGTTGAACTACAACAATCCTTTTTTAGATTTTAGGTTTGTAACTATAAGCAGACTAATCAGAACTTTTCCTATAGGTGATCAATTAGCAGAGACCTCTTGTAATAAGAGTCAGAAGGAAAAATACCTTTTACACCTGTGAAAGCAAAGACTATTATTAAGACGGGATTGAGGCTGATGGTTTATCTTATTGGAATAAACCTGTTTCTGTTTACAACTGTTAATGAACTCACAAGAGTCCCTAACAATATTTTTTGTTTTATGATATCTGTGCTGTAAAAACGTTTCCCTCCTGGAGCAGCACTCCCGAAGGGAGAGGGAAGTGAAAGGAGTTATTTTCTAGTTCTGCCTATGGGTAGAAAGGCTGATAAATTTTAACTAAAACATTTACATTTGTTCTTCCAGAGTCCGAGGGTCAAATCCAGACCAGTTTATAAAGAATATGGCCCAGACATGAATGAAGGTCAGCTTCAATCTGAAAGGGTCACAGGGACAGGAAACCCACAATCCAGGAAACCCGGTCCTAAATGTAGCAGCCACAGAGAAGACAACCACTCTGGAGCATGAAAACCAATCCTAACTATCTCAGGGGCAGAAAGATAACCAAGCACAAAGCTTTCTGAGGGTGAATCTCCACTCCTTACCAAAATATGGCTCCAAAGACAAATGCTATGATTAACTCCAAGTGCATTACCAAGCAAAAATTAAAGTCACTAATCAAAGAACCTGAATGACTTCCTTTTAACTTTCTGAAAGCTAGAGAGAGGAAGTAAGAAAATCAAAGGACAGGTTGGAGATGCTCTTTTAAGCTTTGTAGTTTGAGCTCATATATGTGTGTATTTATAAAAAATACTGATGAGTGTTTCTTTTTCCTGCTAATTTGTCCCAGCTTAGTATAACTTGCTGGTTTAACTTTTGCTGTCTTTAGCTTTCTCTCCTTTTTTAAAAAAAAATTTTCTTTTCTTTTCCTGTTCTCATTTTCCTTTTTTTCCTGTTTTTTATTTTTCTATTTTTCCCTATTTTTCTTTTCCTATTTTTTCTTTTTCTATTTTTTCCTATTTTTCTCCTCCTATTTTTTCTCTTGTTTCTTTTTCTATTTTTTTTTTTTTTTTTGGAAAACAAGTCCAATTGGCATATGATGTTATAATTTTAAAGCCCTCCCCCCAGCCACTCTCTTGGTCCTCTAGCAGGTTGGAGGCAGAAGGGGGCTTACAGAGGGAGCTGAGAGAGGAGGTGGAAGTATTTTTTAAGGGTACTCCCTTTGTTTGAGTAGTTTGAATATTGACCCCGCACAGATCACAAATTTCAAGGTGGGCATCTTTTACGGGACCTAATGACTGTCTCAATTTTTGGATCACATGTTCCCAGCCCTCCACCGCCAGAGGAAACCATAGACATAGTTGTTGAAAAGCTACAAATAATTTAGTAAGTTAAGGTTGACAAATTTTACATCCAGATGTCTTTAAAAGATGTTGCAAGTGTTGCTTAAATTGTTTTTCCTATTTGGATAAAGTTTGATCCATACCATACGAATGAAAGTAAAAGAGAAAAAAGAACAAATGAACTGCATCCATTCACTTAGCAATTGCACAGTTAAAAGACCTCTGGGGCTGATAATCCTAACCTGTGACTTTGTGGAGACATACCAGGCTATTCCATGGCCATCTTTGTCCCCTTACCTTATGGACGTCCTTGTTCCTTTTCTAGGCTTTAGGAGGTCAGTCCTCTCGCAGTGAGTTGTACCCACTTATTCCTCACATGCTCCTCACACAGGCAACACCTGTCACAGTTCAGGAACACGGCATGGTACAAAGGACAAAAGAATACTCTGAGTCAGTGTCCAAGTCAAACTCCAAGAGGGCCCAGAGGGGCTGCCCTTGATGGAGACCCCTCAGCATGACAAAGTGTCATAAAGAGCAGCCCCTAACTGTAGCCACTATGACTTTTTACTGATAGAACCAGGAAGCAAGAGTAAAGGACAATGGACATAGGAAGGACTATTATCTGTGCAGGAATTCATACAGGGCACAGGGGAAGGTTGGGGTGGTCTGTTACATAATTGACCTTAGTGCCAGCCTAAGTAATAAGTTGGAATATGGGGAGCAGGAGGCCCAGAACATTCATTCCTTAAGGCATTGTGTTTGATCCTACTTGGACTTGGGGCCTGTAGGCTATCTTTTAATGTCTAACCATGTATTCTGGGAGGTTTCAGGCATGTGGCTCCAAAAGTTCCTTACCTTTGCATACCCATCTCATACATACCTCTGGCCAACACCCCCACACATACTCATTTAACAAAAATTAAATGATTTCTACTTAGGAACAATTTAGGACATAGAGCTGCAGAACCCAAGTTCACATAGGCTTGATTTGCCTCCTCACACTCCATAGAAAATTCTTCTGCCTGTAAGAGTAAGTATGGATTAGACACAAGTGAGGATTAGTGTGCAAGGAAGAAATCAGTGCAGGAGCAAAAGGAAGAAGTGCACAAACTGTGTAACATTTTATTAATTTTCAAGAACTGTGTGTGTGTGTGTGTGTGTCCATCTGTCTCTCCCTGTTTCTTTTTCATTGACTCCCCTGGACATGAATGTGATTGAGAACAGAATATGATTTCTGAAATATGCAGGACACTGGTCATTATAGCACCTTGCTGGTCCCCTGTAAAGACTCAGAAGAGAGCTAAAATAGTGTGGATATTTTTATAACTTTATGTGCTGTGTATCTGGATTGGGTTTCGTTTGTTGTGTTTTATATCAAATCTGGGAAGAAATTTTAAAAATTAATTGTATTGGTACTCTTTCGATACACAAAGTGATCACATTCATCATAGGGAATTTGTACCCTATGATGTATTTGTACATAATATATCTTGATGTTTTTCCTCATTCCCCTTCCTTCCCTTCAACCCTTCTTCCCCTCCTTATTTACAAAAGTTTTGTCTCCATTTTTTCCTTCTATTCTCTTTATTCCTTTTCCCTTCCTTCCCTCCAGCCTCCTCCCTTGTTCTCCTTTCCATTTGAACATTTTCTTCCTATTTACCAACATCTATCATCTCTTTTGGTCCTTATTTACACTTACAGTTTCTCACACAAGAGAAGCAATGTGATATTTAAACATGTGGGTCCAATTTATTTCATTTGAAAGTATAGCCTCAATGTGCGTCCATTTACTTAAAATGCCTAAAGTTTATTTTTCTTTATGGCAGAGTAGTACTCTATTGTACATAAAAACATATTTTCTTTATCCATTCAACTGATGATGAGCACATGGGCTATTTCCAAGATTTAGCTATTAAAAATTGTGCTGCTATAAACATGGGTGCACATATATCAATGTGGAATGATACTTTTACCTCCAAGAAGATATCACAAAGCAGAATAGCTGGGTCAAATGGAACCTCTAGTTTCAGTTTTTTTTTAAGAAACTCTATACTGGTTTCCATACTGGTAGTACCAATTACACTCCTACCAATGGTGGAGAAGGGTTCCTTCACTCCCAATGCCTCACCAGCATTTGTGGTTGATTGATTTCTTGATGATAGCCATTCTTGAATGCAACATTCACAGGAGTCTAGGATGATTAGTGAAATTTCTGCACATGTGTACTGGTCATCTTCAGGCTTATGGAACAGTTTGGAGGGTACCTGTGGACTGCCATCCTCCAGGAGCAGTTTGGAACCCTGGAAAATAGGATTTCTGATTATCTGAATTATAGAATAAATAAAATGATTATTTCTTCTGAGGAAGGAAGGGTTTAATTAGAATAGGAAAAGAAAATTACCTATCATACTTTTGCATTTCTGCCTCCTTATACAAATCTGGCAATTAGATTGTCACAACTTACTTTCTATTTTTTAATTTCAAACATAATCTATTACCAGATATTCAAAATTGATAATACAGAGGTTTGAGTTCCACTGTAAGTAACTAGCTACTTGAGTATAACTTAGCAAGGAATTTTAAATGAAAATAACTACTTCATATTTTTAAACTTCTACCATACAAGGCATTCTACCACCTACAACTGAAGAAACAGCTTTCTTTAATTCAAGAAGATCATGGCTCCATCAACCAAAACATACACAGGAACAAGAGAAAAAAATATCAATTTTATTAAAGACAAACGTAAGACCTGAAACTTCAAAGCTCCTAGATAAAAGCAAAGGAAAAAAACTGCATGACATTGGTCTGGTTGATGATTGTTTTGGATTTGATCCCAAAAGCTTGGAAAATGAAAGAAAAAAACAGACAAATAAGATTACATTAAAACAAAAACAAAACTCCTTTGCAATGTAAAGAATTAACACAGCAAAGAAACAACTTACAGAGTGGGAGAAAATATCTTAAGCCATATACCTGATAAAGGCTTAATATCTAAAACATATAAGTAACTCAACTTGATATCAAGAAAACTAATAACCCAATTAAAAATGAGCAAAGGAGCTAAAAAGATATTCCCTGAAAGAAGACATACAAATGGCGAACAGATATGTAAAAAAAAGTTCAACATCATTTGTCACTATAGAAATACAAATTCAAACTTCAATGATATATCATGTTATACCACTTGGAATGACTATTATAAAAAAGACGAGGGGTTGGGGATGTAGCTAAGCATTTGCCTAGTATGCACAGGACGCTGGATTCAATTCCAGCACTGAAAATAAAATGATGAAAGGTAGGTGTTAGAGAAAATGTAGAGAAAAGAAGATTTATGTACACTGTTAGTAGAAATTCAATTAGTACAGTCACTATGGAAAACTATAGAGTAGTTCCTGCAAAAACCAAAAATTACCAACTTGTTGCTTCCTCCTCTCCCACAAACACACACACACACACACACACACACACACACACACACACACAGATTGGCTTGGTGGAAAGAAAAAAGGCTTTATATTTGGAACCACCTCCCAGGAGATGGAAGGGCCTCCTATTGCTATAAATCACCATATCACTATGTTCAGGTATGCAAAGGCCTTTTATAGTAAAGGAAAGAAGGAATACAATTAGATGATAGCCTGCTCCACGCTTGTTTCATGCCTCCTGGTTGTCTTCCACTGCCTTCCTTACTCAGGAAACAAAACTGGACTCTGACCTCCTGGGGCCAGCACACACATATTCTTTCCATTCGTCTGAGCTGAGGTGAGGTGGCGGGGTGTGGGTTAAGTCTCTGGACTGAGAAGTATGAAGAAGCAGTTTATTCCCCCGCCCAAAAAAAGAAAAATTCTAACTTAAAAATGTCTTAGTTACTTTTTTCATTTCTGGAACTAAATACCTGACACGCACAAGTTAAGGGAGGAAATGTATACTTTAGCTCACGGTGTGTAGATGTTTCAGTTTATAGCTGGCTGGCTCCAAGGCAGGGCAGCATGGCAGAAGAGAAATACTCCACGGCAGGGCAGGCAAGAGGCAGCAAAGCACCAGCAGACTTCCCTTCATATTTCCCTTTATATTCCATCCAGGCTACAAAACTGTTGGTTGGTGTCACCCACACCCAGGGTGGACCGTCCATTATCCATACCCAGAAATATATTAAACCAATTTAGTTATCACACACCCTCGATCCAGCCACCTCTGAAAATCCCCACCTATGAGCATATGAGGCTTCGTGGGGCATCTAGATACAAGCCATAATAAAAGACAGCCCTTTTGCCCCACCAGTTACAATAGCATCCAGCAATCCAACTTTTGGGTATATACCCAAAGGATTTGAAATCACTATGTTGAAGAGATAACTGCACTCTCATGTTCACTGCAGTATTAGTCACAATACCTAAGTTATGCAATCAATCTAAGAGTCCATCAATGGACTATGGATAAAGAAAATATGTTATATATTCACAAAGGAATATTTTTCATCCTTGAAAAGGCAATTCTGTCATTTGCAATAACATGAATGAACCTGGATATCATGAAGTAAGCTAGACACAGAAGGATAGATAATATATATTTATGTTCATATTCTAAATCACTCTCGTAGAAGTAGAGAAAAAGGTAGTTAACTGAGTCTGGAGAGGGGAATGTGGATAAGTTGGCTAAAGTGTACAATATTTCAGTTAGACAGGACTTTTTTCAAGATCTAGTAATACATATTTCAAATCTGCTAAGAGTAAATTTCAAATGCTCACTCCACAAAAAAGTTCTTCAGGTGACGAATCACTCCACATTGTATACATAGGACATCACTTAGTATCTCATAAATATGTCAATATACACTAAAATAGAAAGATTCCCTAGGGGCTCGGTGTAGCTCAGTGACAGAGCAAGTGCTTAGCATAGTTAAGCACAAAAGGAACTTTTTCCCCCTACACAGTGTCTAAACAAAATCCATTTGATTTAATATGCACTGTATTTTAATTCAGAGCTGACCTTAAGAGTGTGCCTAGACTTCTCTAAAGATGTCCTTCAAGTTTACTTATGTCAGGTGTGCTTAGATTAGCAGTGCCCCCAAGTGCGGTTTCAGAGCCAGTAATATTAGCATCTTCTGGGAAATTGCTAGAAATGTAAATTTGGAGGCCACACCTGCCCAACTTTCGCAACTCTATGAATGGAATCCAGCAATCCGTGTTCTAATATGCTCTCTAGCTGATTCTTTTTTTTTTTTTTTGTACCGGGAATCGAACTCAGGACCTTGCGCCTCCCAGGCGCTTATGCCACTGAGCTATATTCCCGGGCCTCTAGCTGATTCTGACGCACAGGAAAGTTTGAGCACCACTGACTTGTACTGCCCGTTATATTACTGTTTCTCTGGTTAGTAAAACACTAGGTTTGATAGTTCAGAAGCATAAGAGATTGCCTAGCCAGGGTTTTTGGTGAGTGTGCAATTTCCTGCTCTGAATGGAGTTTGCTGGAAAACCAAAGAATTAGCACACACGTTTCAAGTGCTCAAGCGAACAAGTCTGTGAATCCTGCATTGCACTCATGTCCAGAGCTTGTGGGCTCTGCCTGTGGGGAAACCTTGCCCACCGGTAACACGGATTCTGTCGGAGAGGTACTGGGGTGGTGGCGGGTAAAAGCTCTCACCAGGAAAAAAGTGGTTTGGGTCTTAAGTACTTCTCTGCCCTCCAAGCAGAGGTAAAAAGGGAGGGCGTGTGCCTAGAGGAAAAATGCACACGTTTGTGCTTTTCTTCAAAACACTTTAAATCACTTGAGCAAAGAGCCTTCTACAGCCTCCTGAGAGGAGTCTGTGGTCAGCAGTAGGTTTTGATAAAACACGATGTATCGATCTCTATGCCATCGTAATTGCATGTGTCCAGCTGCAGACAGTAAATGGTAGGCTGTATATGTCCAGAATAATGCCTCAATCTTTTCTTCAAAGAACTAGAAACTAGAGGTCCGGGTCACCCCAATAAAATTCTCCCGTAGAGGTACAATTTACGTGTGCCCGGCGAAAACACGTTTTCGCCCTGATTTTATCCTCCATTCATCATTTTGCAGCCTCTCCCACAGATCTCATCTGTTCCAAATCGCGAATTAGCCAGCAAATTCACATATCTCAATGTCAACATACACAATTTACTTACACGCCCACTTAATCCTGCAGCTACGCCATCAATTGTCGCCGCCAGTTCCGTTCATCAGTTCGTTCCCCCTGCTCCTCATCCCCTCTCACTTCCGTTCCCTTCTTTCAGCGGGGCTGGTGGCAGGACATGCCTGATCCTCAGCCTTAAGTGTTACAAACCTCTGCCTTGTCTGCTCTCCTGTGGCCGACAGCCCGAGCCCTGCGGCCTCAGAAAGCAGCAGCGGTGGCGGTGGCCAGACTGTCTCCACTCCGCTCATAACCCTCACCGGTCCGCCATGATGAAGAAGCGCGCTACAATTCACGACACCGGC